ACTGATTAATTTATATATTTTATATAAGTACAGGTCAGAAAAAGTATGCTATTTTATTTTTACATATATCTTGTTACACTGAATGACGATGGAACATAATTTCACCCATATTTTGAAGTTTTTTTTTTTTCTTCACAAAAGTAATTTGAAACATAAAAGTAGACACTTTATTTGCATTTAATATGCTTTATGTGTATATAAAAAAATTTAATTTAATTTGATGTAGACACAAGAATAGGATGTCTTTTCTTTGACCAATAAATATCACTGCAAAAACAATATAGGAAATGATCAATTAAATACAACAAGCTAAGTATATTCAATGTGAAACGATGTTTAACTGTGAAAATTCTCTTGATTTCTCTAGTAGTAAGGAAAACATCTGGATTTTGATTTATTAGAGATTATAAATCTCTTTAGGGGATTTATAATCTTAAAATTAGGGGAAGTCGTGGCCTAATGGTTAGAGAGTCGGACTCGTAACCCAAAGGTTGCGGGGGCACTAATTTCCGAGTATGGGTCACCATACTTGGCCACATGTCACTTCACGTCACGTTATATCGTCTTTGAGACAATAATGCTTGTTGGTACACAGGTGTAAAACGTGTGGAGAGTACATTTACAAAGGGAAGAAGTTCAATGCCCGTAAGGAGACCGTTCAGAACGAACTGTACCTGGGGCTTCCCATTTTCAGATTCTACATTAAATGCACCAGATGCTTGGCTGAGATCACTTTCAAGGTACTAGAATAAACACGCACATCATACTCTTTAAAACCAGCACACAAACACTTAAGGAGTTTTTATTGTTAGTCTTGTGTGTTTGTTTAGTTGCACTTCATCTGATTGCTGTGTTTCACAGACAGATCCAGAGAGCACAGATTACGCCATGGAACATGGTGCAACAAGAAATTTTCAGGCTGAGAAACTGATTGAAGAGGAGGAGAAAAAGATCCAACAAGACCGAGAGGAAGAGGAACTCAATAACCCCATGAAGGTCTGATAGAAACTTTAAAGACTACATGTGTGTTTTATGATATTAGAAGTTTTGTTAGGGATTTATATAGTTTTGCTATTTGTGATTATTTTTTTCCGTTTTCAAGAGTTTGTTTTTTTGTTTTATTTTTGACAAAAGCTTTAGCGGCTGTAGATTGCTGCATATAAAATATGCTTTATGTACAAAATGTAAATATTCCTATGTATGTTAACCTAAAAAGTTGATGTTTTTTGATAATTGTGTCCATATTGTTTACCATGTACATGTGCATATCACAATAATTGCACCTTTATGGGGTCATATGCATTCACAGTTAAAGTATTTTTTTTCCAAAGCATGTAATGTCAAGATTAAGAAGCATAAATGATATAATATAGTGTGGTTTAGACTTCTCTTTTCTCTTGCTCCACATAGAGAGATGTTGGAGAGAGCTCTGGTCAAACGACTGAGGGACTCGGACTCTGAAGAAGAGACCGAAGATGCAAAAGACCAAAGCAGGAAACACACGGCTGATAAACCCACAGACATCCTCACCACAGACAGGGACACAGGACCACAGGTGGAGAGAAAGACAGCAGCCTCCACCTCATTAGATTCAAATCTAACTTGTTTTATTTGACATTGACACATTTTTTACATTTTATTTTGGTCACTTTTATTAATTATGATTTGGAAAAAGTCTTAGATATTACCTTAGATTTTTATTAATACATGCTTCTGGATATTCCACTGTGATTGGTCAGTTGCGACATGCTGCAATCAAGTATTTTCGTCATAGTTGCTCTCAGGCAGATAATTTCCTACGTAGCTGTGCTAGTTTCTTGTTTCTCATATCACTCCACACTCTATCTTCTCGCATAATAATTTCAGCTCAAATCAGTATTTCATATCCATTTGTTTATTTATCACAATAAATATTAACCAGGATAATATTCAGCCAGGCATTGCTGCAAAATAAACACTCACAAGGATTGTTGACTGTGCAAAAATCAATTGTTCTTTTAGCTTACATGTGTTTTTCTGTTGTCTTTCTATTCATCAAACGCCCCGTCTGTTTCTCTCATTAATGTATACGCTGGTTTCCTCCTGATCTCCACAGGGATCATCATCTGTGGGCGTTAAGAAACAGAAGGTGGAGAGCTGGGAGAGGAGTGTCGGAGGTCTGGGTGGGAAGGGAGCTCTGGGGTCTCTGGTGGTGAGGAAGAAACCAGCCGATTCTGCCTTTAAACCTGCTGCCGCTGCACCACGACAGGCTGCTGACACACAAACAGGTTCGTGATGATCATGATTTGCTGCCCATGAAACATTTCTGTTTATTAGCAATGTTGAAAACAGTTGTGCTGCTTCATATTTTAGTGGAAACTGATTTATTTTTTTTCAAGATCCTTTGATGAATTGAAAGTTCAAAAGAACAGCATTTATTTGAAATAGATTTTTAAATGTCTATTTAAAAAAAAAAAGTCCATAAAAGTATTAATCTCTACAAAAAAAACAACTTTGACCCCAGATTTTTAAATGGTGGGGTATATATAAACTTTAATAAAAAAATGTCTTATGTATGAATTTAATAAACCAAAATTGTAATTGAATGATTATTTATTAACAATATTACCTCTATAAAAATAATAATTCAATATTTATTATTATTTAATAAACAAAAATGAATTATTTTATCATTAACCTTTTTTTACTGTTTTACTAATATAAATTGTATTAATATAACTAATAAATAGACATTTTAATTATTATTATTTAATAAATCTAAACTGCAATTTTGTTTTATTTATATAGTTAATAGATAGATATTTATTATTTAATAAACCAAAATGGCAGTGGATGTATATCAGGATATCAGGAGTTATTATTATTATTATTTCTCTATAATCAAGGAATGGTACAGATGTGAAGTACGCAAGCCATTTTTTTAAAGGGGTCCTATTATGCTTTTTAACTTTTTCAACTTTAGTTAGACTGTAATGTTGCTGTTTGAGCATAAAAAAAGATCTGCAAAGTTACAAAGCTCAAAGTCCACTTCAAAAGGAGATATTTTATTTAACAGAAATCACTTTTCAAAAACTACAACGAACGACTCGTTTGGACTACAACGCATATTTTCCAGGATTTGTGATATCACAAAGATCGAATTTGGTACCTATGATAAAACCCACTGCAGTTTCCACCATAAAGCCTAATGTTGTATTTATGTATCAGACATAGTTTAGGGTTTTGCCATCTCTGTTAACCTGTGCTTTCTCTGTCTTTCCAGATCATTCAGGCGCAGGTGCTGCCAAACCCCAGTCCTCCAAAGCTTCCAATGGGCAGCCAGTCGCATCTCAGTACGGTTCTTCTCTCAGCCTCTTGGGGGCGTATACAGACAGCGATGACAGCAACTCTGATTAGGATGGAGAGAATGCGGTGGCATTTTGGCTGACTGAAACAAATGTTTGTTTTCAGACCAGCAAAAATTGACCACCATTCTTTTCACAGACCGCTTTAAGTTTCCTTAACCTGGACTCTTTCAAAGTGCAGTTCAATAGATTTTTATTTTTTAGTGATTAACTTTTTAGCTGGAGGAGCATTGTTTATGAGAAGCTGTTTCCATTGCCTGGATTTCAATCGGTCTGTTAGATCTGCATCATCCCGCTGTCTCTAATGTACTCTATAATGTGCTTCTAATGTATTATGCACTCTATAATGTAGTATTTGTTTCTCCATGTTAGCTCATGGAAATGCATTTGAGGGTTTCAGTGGAGATAAGTGAATCTGAATCTAATTTCCACTGATCATCTCTAATCCCATATCAGCTCATTTCATCTTCCCAAACATCAAACAAATAAAACGTTCCTCGTGTTTTGTTTCTGAGCACAGACTTTGTTTTCTAGCAAATATTTTGAAATATATTTCAGATATATTATTATCAAGTATTTTCTGTATTGTAAGCTTCACAAAAGGCATTTTTGAGCCATTGAGTTAAGGCTGCTTTTTGCCTGATCAAAATTCAGTGTAGGCACAATGCAGCATAAAAGATAGACTAAATTATGTTGGCTCACACCCACTTCAGCCCCTAGTATCAAAGTATATGCGTTGTATTGATGCATTGTATCAATATAATGCATCACATTGTATGCTGTCTTTGAGCAGCATTAAACTATGGAAAGCCATTTCTGCTATGGAAAAAATTAATAAGAAAGGAATTTGCAACTTTTTATGTGAGCTTATGTCTTGCATTTCTGACTTCCTCACAATTCTGACCTTGAGGAAAAGGTCAGAACTGCGAGATTAAACTCAGGATAAATATAATGATTAATTGCGACTTCTCAAATTTGACTTTTTTTTGTGCAATTCTGAGTTTAGATCTTGCAATTCTGATAAAGAAGTCAGAATAGTGAGGATAAAAAGTCAGAATTATCTGATAAAAACTCGCAATTACCTTTATTATTTTTAATCTGTGCAAGAAACAGGCTTTCATATTAAATGTGCAATTCTGAGTTTAGATCTTGCAATTCTGATAAAGAAGTCAGAATAGTGAGGATAAAAAGTCGCAATTACCTTTATTATTTTTAATCTGTGCAAGAAACAGGCTTTCATATTAAACGTTTTGTATAGATACACCTACGTGCCACTTCAGAAGTGCTTCTGTGCCACCCCTGCGATGTAAATTTGGCAAAAGTTACTCAATTTGACATTCCGCTAATGGCATTAGTGGCTTGTTTTGGTGTTAAAGGTAACACTTGCTAATGTGATGTTAATGCAACCCGATGTGTGGACTAGCCATTATTCACCATCTCCCATATTGATCCACCAAAGTGCCGGTGACCTTCTAACCTTACAATTTGACCTCTGTATGCTGATGGAGAAGGTGTTAATGAGAACTGGTGTGACAGATGGGGCATGCATTGAATTGGATCGCTTCTTTTAGTGTGTGTGTGTGTGTGTGGTTAACCAGAAGCCCCTACTTGTATGCATTTTACTGCACTTAATCTCTTTATTCCATTTAAAACCCTGCACTTTCTTAATAAGTGTGCTTTGTAGACATGCATCGTTTTGCACAGTGCAAGCCAAAGCACGAGCCAGCATGCGAAATGAAATGCCTCAGCAAGAACAAAGACAATGCAACTCTCCAGTGGGCTTCAACAACATGTCTAGCTTATGTGTTGTTCACCAACTGAGCTGAGCTGCAACAACCAACGCAATCCGATGCAACTCATCCATCCATTTGCACGTGCGCACGCTCGTCGTCACTTCTGAGATTCCCCTCACAGCTGCTTTTTATACTCACTTCCCACCGTCCATCATTGAGAGGTGAGTATTTTGCAAATGTTTTGGGGGTTTGTGGCCTTCTGAACTGTTTTTATGAGTTATAACTGTCGTGTTAGATGAACAATTTGCACACGCTTGTCTGTGAGTATCCATTGGGATCGCGTTGCATAGTTAGCCAGCAAGCAAACCGGCTAACAAAATGCAGCTTGAATTTGTTGGTTTTTACTTTTGTGCTCCAAATTAGTTCAGCATTCGACTTCTGTGTTCAATTTATTATAGTAATCGTGTATATAATCTCATTTATCGACAAATAAAGTGACTATAATATGAGGTAGCGGAGTTTAAAGATGTTAGCCGGGTTGCTAACATTAGTTTTAATCTATAATGACAGCTTTTGTCTATTTCATTCTAAGAAACATTAAAATCTCTGTTATGTGCTGAATTAAAGGGGGAACAATAAGAAAGTGGGTGTGTGCAGTTGGTGCATGTTCTTGTTTTGACAGGATTCTTTGCCAAGATTGAGCAGTGCGAGTTTGTGTGTAAAACTTTATTTTTGAATAATATTGTTTTATTTGTTTACATTTATATAAAATGTTCGCCAACACGTTTAATGTATCACCCACGTACAAATGCGTTAGTGACGATATCTGTTTGTTTAAAGGAACCGCTCGCCAAAAAAAATTTAATTATGTAACGGTTAACTCACGCCGATTTTGTTCCAAATCCTATTGTTTTCCATCTAACTTGAAACACAAAAGCAGTTGTTAGACAAAATGTGAGGGGGACTGACAACCTCAGTCACTATTTACCTTCACTGCATCATTTTTCATCCAATGAAAGTGAACGGGATTGTGATTCTGTGGTTTAAAAAGGAAAATGAGCATCATGAAAGTTGCTTATATAACTAATTTGGTTTATTCTAAGTCATATGAGACATTTCTGTGAGGAAAAATACCCAAATTAAGTTATTAGTGTCTAAATTCTCAATGGACAGACAATAGTCACCATTCACTTTCATTGTGTGAAAAAGAGCTGCCTAGTCATTCTGCTGACTAATTACTTTTGTGTCCCACGGGAGAATGAAAGTCATACAGGTTTGGAACAACATGAGGTTGACTAAATTACGACAGTGTTTTGAGTTATTACTGTAATATGTCTTTTCCAATTGGTCAGGTCTAGGGGTGGAGGCTTTAAAATACCCCACGACTGCCTTTCTGCCTTTACGTTTCTTGCTTTTTTAAAGGGGTCATATGATGCTGCTAAAAAGAACATTATTTTGTGTATTTGGTGTAATGAAATGTGTTATGGCCGTGCTTTTGCTTTCCAGATCAATTTATTGCAAGCAAATAGGCGCTGGATGTTCTAAAGCATCGATGCATTGGGGAAACTGAGGTGAGCTATTGCACAATATCATATTTGTCATTTATTAACACTCTGTGAGTAATAAGTAACTTATTGGTTAGGTGTTTCAGGATTTATGGATGGTGTTCCATGGAAGAACTAGGATAAAGTCCTTTTTAGAAGCATAACCGCTCCTTTAACTTCTTATTGGATCTGTTTTTAATTTTTGTCTTGGTCGTATAGACCCATGGCAAAGTGGTTTCGAGATCACCTAAGTTTTGGCAGCAGGAAAGGACCGCCGCAGCCCCCGAAACCGGACTACAGCGAAAGCGAGATCCTACGGGCCTACAGGGCTCAGAAAGACCTGGACTTTGAGGACCCTTACGGACCGTCCGAGAACCGGGTGCTGAACGGCTCAGGGTCAGTGGAAACGTTCCCCGCGTTTGGCGCGGTGCTGTCCAACGGCGTGGAGGTGAAGATCGTGTCTCCCAAACACAGACTGATAAAAGTGGAATCTCAGGAATTCGGGCGTAGCAAAATACCACTGAACATCGTGACCTTTGAGGAACCGCAGGCCCCTGTAAGTTCTTGTTTTCTTAACGTATAGAGAGCTTAAATGGGTCTTACTGGACTGTTATCAGTAAGAATTATGTGCTTTAAAAGGTTTTCAGTGTTGATGTATGGAAAAATGATTGGGATTGAGCAAGAACCAATCCCAGAAAGTGTAAAAGCATAATTTTGTTGTGTATTCATCTTGGTGAATAATTGTGATTTCAAGCATTTTTCCTCTTCTTATGTGTACTTGAATGACAAATGTTTGTTTAAATGAAATTATTTTACCAGCACATTAATTATGTGGTTGTTTATCTTGGCGTAAAGACCCTCCAGTCAATTTCTCCAGTCAAAATCGTGAATAGGTCAATATGTCATAAATTAGGTGGTTATGAGAGTCGCAGGGGTTGTTTTACTAGGATTACAGTGATGTGTGATTGTTTTAGAGTAGATTTGTTTGGTGCACGTGTCATGGATGAGTTTTGCAGACAGTCATAACAAACCAACCAGACGCACAATTTGCTCGTGTTTCCTGAACTCGGCCGGTAATGATTGTCTTTTGTCATCAGAGGTGAAGGGTGGGAGCATTGGGAATCAATTTCATTAACCCAAATACATTTAATCCCAATGCCTGCGGGTTTTATAGACTCCCACACCAGCCCTCTCTCTCTCTCTCTCTCGCTTGTTTAGGTTTATAAAGGGATTGTGTGTCCAAAAATGAAAATGTTATGTCACTCAAAATTTTGGTTCATATATCTCCTTTTTTTCCAGTGAAACAAAAAAGAGCAAAATGTTCTTTTATTTGCAATGTAAGCATAATGCTTAAAATTTGGCTGACAATTTTCAGACTGGACAAAAAAGAATTATAAGAATAATTTTAGTATTATATTTATGTACTATTAGGCCTACAGTATATACTTTTATGTGTCTGCTTTCAAAAGAGACCAGGATTACGTTTTGTAGACCAAAGGGTTTGAGAGCTGCGGCCTTTAAATTTTGGGTCTGTAATTTTTTGGCTTGTGGTTGTTAAGGGATGTGTGTGTATATATATATGTGTGTGTATATATATATATATATATATAGCTGCACATCACAGGAATAAATTAGATTTTAATGTATATTAAAATAGAAAAACGTTATTTTACATTGTAATAATATTTCACAATATTAAATTTTTTCCTGTATTTTTGATCAAATAAATGCAGCCTTGATGAGCATAAGAAACTCCTTGAAAAAATATTAAAAATCGTTCTGATCCCAAACTTTTGAACAGTAGTGTGTGTGTGTAACATTTATTTAATTGATTTTTATTTTTGTATTTTCCATTTTCATTTTAAAGTTTAATTTGAATGTTCTAGTAATTTTTGTCATAAGGTAATGTTACTGTTTTTTTTTGTGTTTTTTTTTTATATGTAGTTAGTTAATGTGGTGTTCATTTATATTTCAGGTTTAGCTTATTTTAGTACATCAAGTTAAACTAAATGAAAATGAGAAGTACTAAAAATGTTTATTATGGTTTTAGTTTAAGTTTTACTATAATAACCCTAATGGCTGAAAATGCCAGACTGAAAATGCTTCATGTGTTTTTGCACAAAAGCTGCCAGAATTGCATACTGCGTAAAACTCTGCAGCTGTCTTAGTTTCTGATTCATATGATCATCATGATCACTCATCATCCTTGTTCTTTCTCCCCAGGTGGTTCCCTCGGCTCCTGCGGTCGGGGAGACTGATTACTCTGACCCGTTTGACGCCAGGCCGGACCTGCGGCCCAGACCCGGCTGGGAGCAGAACGCTGTAGAAGCCTGCAGCAGTTACATGGAGCCGTTTGAGGCCCAGCGATTCATAAGCGGTACAGCAGTTCCCCACTGGATCTCTTATAATACCAAAGAGAGCATTTATTCAGCCATTGTTATTCCAGTCGGTTTAATTTGTGGTCTGGACTGTGGTATGTGGTACTTTTTAGTGATGCACCGAAATGAAAAATCTTGGCCGAAACCGAACAAAATGAAACACAAGGCCGAACACGGTTTTTCATGTTTTTTCCCCATGTATTTTGACAATTTTTTTTCACCATTGCATAAATTAAATAGCCAACGCAGCAGATTTATAAATGAGTCTCATTATGAATACGTCGCACGTATCGCATTGTCACATGCCTTGTAAAAATTCGTAAAAATGTCAACTGATGAGTAATACTGTTTCAGCGCAGATTTTCCTCACGCTTTGGACTTTGAACCCTGGTTAACAAGCAGATAGCGCTGTCAGAATACATGCAATTCATGCGAAAACATAACATTCTGCAGTTTATTAAGTAATTGTTTAAGGCCATTTTGCGATTTCAATCATCATACAGTATCCAACAACAATCAGCCCTTCTCATTGAAGACATGCGATGCAGTACTAAACAGTCTCTCGCTGTCGGTGCTTGTAATGATTTTTGCGTCTTACTCGGAGAGTTTAAATGCTTCCACACTGCTAACATGTTTGTTGCATTATAAAGAGCGCCTCTCTCTTTACGTTGGTTGCTATTTGATAGCGTCACGTCATTGTTCGGTACAATTTATTCTGTCTTTTCGCTTATATAATTTCGGTTGCCGAACATTCGGTGCATCCCTAGTACTTTTGTATGTTTTTGAAGCTTGACAGCTCCAGTCCTCATTCAATTTCCTAATACTCATACGTAATGTAATATTGTGTCGTCTGGTTCAGTTGAATGTGTTTGTCGTATGTCAGAGCTCCAGCACAGCTCAGATCGGGGCAGAAACAGCCCGCAGCTCTACGACAGCCCGTACGAGGAGAGAGTTTGGCCCCGGGCGGCCCCCGAGGAGGACGAGAGGCCCGTGGATGAGTACGAACAGCCCTGGGAGTGGAAGAAAGAGAACATCTCCAAAGCCTTCGCTGGTAAGACGTGCTGCTGGGTAGAGATGGGCTCCATCCACACCAGTACGTTTGCATCCTCTTTTGAGAATGTAGTTTACCACACTATAAGCAGGGTCTGAAATGAACAGTCAGCAAATGTGAGTAAATCAAACAGTGTTATTTGACTGTCAGCCGGTGTTTGGGAGCAGCTTCCTTTGGTTGGCAGGTGTGGCAGAAAGTTAGTTTTGAACCCTGACTACCGTGTGATGCATCAACAGATTAATTCATAAGCACGGTATTATCATTCGCAGCTCTAAACACTGGATTTGTTTGCATTCAATAAAATGATCTGTGGGTGCAGTCTGTCTTTTATCCTGCACATGAGAAAGGAAGAGGGATGTGTGGGGCGTCTTGATAGATGGAGACAGGAGGAGAGGAGAGAAGTAGAGCAGTCATGCAGAAAGATAATAGCCGCTGTGTGACTTCTGCTCTGCATCACGTCCACACACACACACACACACACACACACACACACACACTCAGATCATCTCTCCCTACGTGACTGAAATGTCACACACTCTTCATCACATGGTAATTTCATCACTTCTGATCAGATTGCCGGTTGCTCATGGATTGTTCGTGCTCTGTCAGATGCATATTCCTCACAAACATGGCAAGAGCTTCTCAAATCAAAGCAGGAATCCTCCTCTACCAAGATGCTGGGAGAGAGTAACTAGTGTTGTTGGCTAAAGCAAGAAACACTACTTCTATTGCTTATACTGATGGATAGTGATTTGAACAAACCCTTAAATCGTAAATATAGAATGTTAATGCTTTTTTTTAAATATTCCACAAAAATGGTTGTTGTTGTTCTTAATTGTTCTTAACTATGTTCTATGTTTCAAAATATAATATGAAGATATACTGCATAATTTAATGCTGTACATTTATAATTTTATGGGGGGAAAACATAAATTAAAGCAATTAAAACACATTTAAGTATTAATACAAATATATAATTTAATTTAAAAATGCAAAAATGTATAATATTTTAAATATGAATAAAATATATAAAAAGTAAAATAGATCAAATGAATTGTAATGTATTTATATATTGCAAAGTGGGTATTTTTAAGTCTTTTTTTTTGGTTGCATTTTTAAAGTTTCTAATTGTTTTGTAGTAGCCTTTGCAATATTAATGTATTTCTTTAATTTGAGTAGTTTTATGAGTAAGTCATATTTTAAATAATTAGAGTAATTGAATAATAAATTATTATCTTTAATAGTCGTAGTTAATACTTATTTATTACATTTGTTTATTTGATAGTATTATTGCAGTAGTAATGTATTTTATGGGGGAAAGCATAAATGAAAACAACTAAAACGCATTTAAAAATTAATACAAATATTAATTATACAAATCTAGAATATTTTGTATATAAATAAAAAAAATATATAAAATTATTTGTAAACCTTACTAACTATTAATAAGCTGCAATTTAAGAGTTTATCGATGCAAAAGTCATAGTTAATAGTTAGTTAACAGTGAGAACTAGTCCCCAAACTAAAGTGTGACCCCTTTTTTAATGTTTTGTAGTAACTTTTGAAGCCAGAGACTGGGATCAATGCACGCTGCCCCGTGAAGAGGCATCGAGGAAGGCAGGAGCGTCCAGAATCAGCCCTTCGTCCAGCAGAGCCACCAGCCTGCACAAACCCAGCAACACGCAGGGCTTCCTGGGAGAGAGAGTGGATCCCACGTTGCCCCTGGAGAAACAGGTGTATGTATTAACACATGAACCGCCTGAGCTGTGCTGCTTACAGGAAACTGTATGAAATACTTAAAAAGTATTTTAAAGTATTTAAAGGGATACTCAGCGTACTGACACAGAAGAGCGTACGCTGCTTGCGTTCAGTGGATATTCTCCAAAATGGCGCTACGGTGATGTGGAGAGACACAGAGGAGACAAATTGTTGAATAAAGTCGTTATTTTTGTTTTCTTCGCGTACAAAAAGTATTCTCGTCGCTTCATAACGTTACAGTTGAAACACTGATGGCAGATGGACTATTCTGACGATGTCTTTCATACTTTTCTGGACCTTGACAGTGTTATTTACTTGGCAGTCAATGGGACAGTCACAAGCCTCCCGGTTTTCATCCAAAATATCTTAAATTGTGTTCCGAAGACGAACAAAGCTTTTTTTACGGGTTTGGAACGACATGGGGGTAAGTGATTAATGACAAAATTTTCATTTTGGGGGTGGAGTAACCCTTTAAATACTTGAAAATTAAATATGTGAAAAGTTGTAATATTTAATCACAAATAACATGAAGATATGGTGGTCAGATGAGAACACATATGATGTGGTGTGGTGAAACATTTCCCTCAGGAAAGTTCTGTGGTGTGCATAAGTAGCTAGTTGAATTCAAGAGAAGAGCATTCTGCTAAAATTTCAAGTGCCATCACTATTTATTACACCACCCTGCGTCATATTTGCTGAGTGAAACCCAATACACGTTGATTCCAAAAATAGTGTCTGTTTTGCTCTATAGCACATCACACTTTGTCACAAAATGCATTTCGTTGCATTTTTGCTTTCAGCAACCATTTGTAAGGTGGGGAAGTCTTGTTTTATCCCTTCATCAGCAGAACAACTGCCACAAAGACATGATTCCTGTCTTCCTTTAAGCCAGATGACTACTATTTTTCATTTCTCAGATGATTTTTGCATGTATGAATGATTCTGAAGACATTATTTATGCCTAATCCTGACTTCAAGGATAAAATTATGAAGAATTATGTCTGGTTACTGAAGAAAATGCAAACGTGAACCAGATGTTTTCTGCTACATCTGTGGGTGTTTAGTACATCCAAACAGCCACATAAAATGACAGTTTTTGTGGGGAAAAAGCTTATTTATAAACCGGTTTATGTACATTATTATTTTTTTTACATTAAATGTATGAATGAACATGTTTCCAATCCGTTGCAGATTGTAAGTTAAATGATACATTTTGAATACTACTTTTTGTCATTAAAACCAAAACGTTTGACATTTAACTCCTTTTGTTAGTTTAAGAAGTGCATTACTTATATATCTACAATTTGAACATTTGTTTGCTGATTTTGTGAAAAAAAACTATATTTGATTTTCTTTCAAGATGCAGGGCTGTGTATTAATATTGTCAATGAATTGTACGCAATCTCTCTCCATTTTCATATAACGGAAGTATTGAGTCTCGTGACACTTCACAGGTGTTGAAATCAGCTACTGAAACCCTAATAGTGGCCCATCTGTGTGTGTTTCAGATGGTACCATGGTGCATTGACTCGCTCAGAAGCTGAATCTCTGCTCACGCTGTGTAAGGAGTGCAGTTACCTGGTGAGGAAAAGTCAGACGAGCCGAAACGACTATTCGCTGTCTCTCAGGTACAGTCTTACACACAAACTCACTGTCTCAGGTGTACTCTACAACCCAAAAAATCATTCAGGAGCATGATTTACAATGTTTAATGTTCAGTCATTATCAGTCATTCCCTCACAAGTAGACTGTTTTGTTGTTTTGATTTTCATATAAATTTCTGCTGCAATTCAGAGTCATGTTGTTTGTGGCTTTTCTCAGAGCTTTTTGGTTTGGTTCAGTCCTTGAGTACAAAATGACATCTTTGTAGAAACAAGGCCGCTGATGACCTGGGCGTTCTATTAGTGTGCTGTAAATGTCCATTAAAGCGCCAGCTACTGTTTTGTGCTGTGTACTGTGAATGCTTTCAGATGTATAATAATTGAAGTACTTGTCCCACATTCACATTTGTTTCGTGAAACAGTCAAGAGTAATTTGATTCTATAAATAGAGCAAATTGTTCTTGCTAAACTAGGTTTCTCTTTCTGCATCTTTATGGGAAATGTAAAGACCTTAAAATAACCGTTAAGGTTTAATGTTTCTCTGGACACAAAATTACCACCAATATTTACATGATTATGTACCACCGTAACTAGTCTAAATTTACATTTTAATGTACTACTCCAGCTGTTCTAAATGAAACATTTGATATTTACATTTTCTTACAATTTTGAAACCAAACTATCATAGAGACTTGAGGGTTGTTTTGATTGGACTTTGGCCAGTAAGAAACCAATTAGCAACCAGTCTGAACACCCTAGCAACCATATAGCAACGCCCTGGCAGCCATCTGGTTCTACTTTGCAGCCTCTTTCTATTTCTCTTTATCTAGATCTGCTCTCATGTATTGAATTTTTTTCTTTCCCCCTCGTGCTACCTACATATTGTACAGCTGGAGGGCAGTTACGTCTAGTTATTCTAGTTCTGTGTAATATATTCAGGTTTGAGATGTTTTGTGTGGGTCTGAATGCGTTTAGCATGTTATTAATAATGTAGTGCCCAGCAAAATGCAGTATGGCTGCTTTTCGGTTTTATGGGGGTGAGCAGTATGACCAAAATCTTACATCATCGTGGTATTTTAATCTTATCTTTTAATAATTTTTTAGATTGTATGAATCACAGTATTGTTATTTATTTATTTATTTTGGCTGGAAATTCAACAAAAATGGTTTATATATTAATTATTGTCTTAATTCCTATTGTGAAATGATCCAGTAAATTAAATAATTTACAAATGAAATGTGCTTCATCTCATTTAATTATTTTTCCTTTTTATTCCTTTTTTTTTTATTGTGACGATTTGCAACATCATTTAGAAACCATAAACTCTTAATACCAATTTTATCCTCGACGTCTTTGTGACACGGACAATTTCTGTATTTACACAAATCTCCACATTTCCTTACTGCTTCCACTTCAGTGCTAGTGCTTTAGTACGGTTTATATACTGTTATAATATTTATTCATATTTTGAATTGGTTTTTATTTATATTTTTTTAGGTTTCATTTTAGCTTTAGTCATTTTATGTGCTTTTATTAGTATTCGTTTTTAATTCTATTTAGCTTTTTTATATCATTATTTATTTTTAGTAACTTTAGTAGCTTCAGCCTAAACCTGTAAGGGTTTACCTGAATTTTTTTATTTTTAAATGGAACAGTTTATTGAAACTAGGCAACACACAAAAAAACACATTTGATACATCAGGCTTTTATGGCTCATATGATATAGTGAGAATATGGAGCTCGAACTCCAATATGGAGCTCAATTAATTTTTTTATTTTCACAAATATGAAATTCGGTGCAGTTGCTCATATTTATATGGTCAGAATGTTCTAATAGCTTGTAATGAAAATCATAACAGTATAGCAGAAAACTTACATGAAATACTATATACAATGGCATGCGAAAGTTTGGGAACCATCTGTGAAAATGTTAATAATTTTAACAAAATAAGAGAGATCATACAAAATGCATGTTATTTTTTTATTTAGTACTATCCTGAGTAAGATACTTTATATAAAAGATGTTTACATATAATCCACAAGACAAAAAAAATAGCTGAAATGATTAAAATAACCCCCTTCAGAAGTTTGGGAACCCTTGGTTCTTAATACTGTGTGTGGTTACCTGGATGATCCACGACTGTTTTTTTTTGTTTTGTGATGGCTGTTCATTAATCCCTTGTTTGTTCTGAACAGTTAAACTGGTCACTGTTCTTCAGAAAAATCCTCCAGGTCCTGCAGATTCTTCAGTTTTCCAGCATCTTCTGCATATTTGAACCCTTTCCAGCAGTGACTGTATGATTTTGAGATCCATCTTTTCACACTGAGGACAATTGAGGGACTCGAACACAACTATTAAAAAAAGGTTCAAACATTCACTGATGCTCCAGAAGGAAACACAATGCAGTTTGAAAACTTTTGAACAGGATGATGTCCAAATTTGTCTTATTTTGTTGAAATATAATTTTTTTCCATTTAGTACCACCCTTCGGAAGCAACAGAAGATACTTGCATGTTTCCCGGAAGACAAATTAAGTCCAATTTACCTTGATCTTCAAATTCAAAACGTTTTTCAGCTATTTTTTTGTCTTGTGGACTATATGTAAACATCTTTTATGTAAAATATCTTACTCAGGACAGCACTAAATAAAAAAATAACATGCATTTTGTATGATCTCTCTTATTTTGTTAAAATTATTCACATTTTCACAGATTCTGCAAGGGGCTCCCAAACTTTCGCATGCCACTATATATATATATATATATATATCAGTTGTCTCTCTGTATCTCCCAATAATGTCTTAAGATGGCATTTAAATGCTTAGTTTGATGATCAGTTGATTAATATTTCACAGCAGAAGACAAATGAAGCACGAGCTGAAGGCGGGCTTTTGTACAATTATACTAAAAGGCCTTTTACTTGCTAAAAAAATTGTCAACTATCAATCAGATGACAGAATGCATGTAGCAGATTGTGTTCAACAGCAAAGTTTTATTTATGTTTATCTTTTAGAGGCCTTAGAAATTTGCATATAAAATATGAAACCGTAGGCTTTACGGGGTTAAACTGTGTTCATGTAACATTTTTTATTTTAGCTTTATTTCAATGAATGAAAATGATTTTTAATGGTTTTAGTTGACAGTAACAACACCGTTTCACCTATTCATAATGTACAGAGGTCTCGCCTACTACTATTGTTGTATAAACAGTATATTTCTACTGTTCCAGGTCGGCCACACAAAGCAATATGCAAACTCAATGACTTTCTCTCTCTCTCCCCCTCCATCTGTCTGTCTCCGTCTCTCTGCAGGAGCTGTCACGGGTTCATGCACATGAAGTTCTCGCAGTCTCGTGATGGGAAGTTCATCCTGGGAGAGAACAGTCCTCCGTTTGACTCCATCCCTGAAGTCATTAATTACTACACCACGAACAAACTGCCCATCCGCGGAGCCGAACACCTGTCTCTGCTGTTCCCGGTGCTGGTGCAGACGCTCTGAGACCACACACACACACGCTTATCACGCGCTCGCACACAGCCACACTCAGAGCTTCACTCAGACGGCTACTACAGTGCTTCATTTTCAATCACATATCACCGGCTCTTCGAGAGTTTGATTTATGTTTGGAGTGGGAATTAGATTTTTCAGGCGTGTGATCAAATTCATCCCTGGTGTGAATGAAAACACAGTCGGCCTGTAGTGACACTGTATCGATGTGCAACACGCGTGTGAAGAATATTTTCCACACTACTGGACTCTAAAGTGTCTTCGCATCACATTGGGAACTGCAATATTATTACTTTCTCTGCTCCAAACTCTTCAAATGATAGATTTAACATTTGAGGATAAAATGTAGCCCGACCAAAGTATTTATAAAGATTTAGCTAAATACTAAAAAGCAATGATGTACAGTTAAAATCCCATCCTCTGTAGGATTTCTTGATTTTAAAAAGTGAAATAATTCACCTGAAAAGACGGTTGTCATCATCTGCTCATTCTCATGTCATTCAGAAGAACCTGTTTGACTGACTTTCTTCTGTTGAACACAAAAGAAGATATTTTGAATGATGTTAAAGATGCTTTTTTCCATGCAGTGAAAGTGGATGGTGATCATGGCTGTTATAATCTAAAAAGGACAAAATCAGCATAAAAGTCTTCTAAAGCCGCACAATAGCTTTGTGTGAAGAAAACACTCCATTTTAGTTATACATAAATGTTTCACTATGCCGCAGCTGTCAATTCTCATTTGTTTCTCTATATTCAAATCAATATTTGTTGACAAAAGTCGAAACTGGAACAGTCATAATTATGGTATTTTAAAAAAAATCTAAAGTATGACGAGATAAGTCATAATTATCCAAATTATGAGTCATAATTGACAAAAATGATAAATTGTAATACAATAAAAGTTGAAATGACAGTAGAAATGAGAATCATAATTGCAAGTCAAATTAAAGCCACAATATTAGTTGTTAAATGTAAATGTTTCAGTCTTTTGCAGCTCTGAATTTTGATTTGTGTTTTCACATTCAAACTAGGGCTGGAGGAAAGATACAAATAACGAAGTCAAAAAAAAAAATAAGTCAAAATTTATGTAATGACACATTTGAAACTGACAGTCAAATTATGACGTGCTAATAAAAGGTCCAAATAACAAGAGGAAAGATACAAATAACTCGTTTGGTTTGTTGGTATAAAGTCAAAATTTATGTAATTATGACACATTTGAAACTGACAGTCAAATTATGACGTGCTAATAAAAGGTCCAAATAACAAAGAAATGAAGAAAGTCGTAATTATGACAAGAACATTTTTGTCAATTACATAATTTACACTTTTTACCTCATAATTAACTCTTTCTGTTCATTTTAACTTTTAAACGCCAGAATTTTAGCTATTGTGTAAATGTTTCAATATAGCTGGGTTTCCATCCAAAGTTGCGAATTTAACTTATGCGCAAAACTGGAATATCGTATAAAACATTTGCGAACAAGCTTCGTTTCCGTCCAACAAGTCAAAGAGAAAAAATCGTCACTTCCTGATAAACTGGCACTATAAATCACTAAGAAAAGTAGGAGAATATAATAATTTTCATATATAATCAATTGAACACAATGAATACGGTCATTGCTTTTGGAGGTAGATGCTGCTGTTTGGGAACGCAGTCGTGTAAGACATTTCTGGGAGGCAATAATACAGAAATACTTTGATGACAGACTTTGCTTGTGCATTTCCGAATTACCATAACAACATTTCAGATGCTGTGGAATGAGCAGTGTTGCCTACTAATTTTCAGAGGAAGTTGCTAAAGGAAGCAATTATTAAATTATTAAATTATTCAGTTATTATTATTATTATTATTATTAAATTGAACAATTGCAAATAGCAGCTAACTTAATTCATGTGATACGTGTACTGCTAGTCATCTTTGGTTTCCTCTTTTTGTGTAATTTAGATGAAAAAAATGTGTCCCTTTTATTGTTTAAGTCACTTATCAAAAGTTGTTAAAAGTTGCCAAATAAATTTTTAAAATAGCTAAATTTGTTGCTAGGTGCTTTTGGAAGAATAAGTTGCTAGGGTAGTATGAAAAGTTGCTAAATCTAGCAACAAAATTGCTAAGTTGGCAACACTGCGAATGAGAGCGGTCCGCTGGTTAGTCAGGTTTTGCCGTCCATAGCGCAAAGTCACATGACATTTTTGATGCGCTTGGAGGAATTTATTTGCAAAATGCATTTCCATCTGCCATTATTCGCATCAACCCTTTTTCGCACAAGGCAAAAACCACCTCAAGCGAGCGTAAAAACTTTTTTGCTAATTAAGGGATTTTTATTAGAAATTTGGCATTTCCATCACTCGTTTCTCATGCGATACTTCAAAATGCGCATTAAAATAGGGTGATGGAAACATTGCTATTGTTGCAGCTCTCAATTCTCATTTGTGTTTTTACATATTCAAACTAGGGCAGAGGAAAAGATACAAATAATAACTTCAATTTTGGTCTGTTTGTCACACAAAGCTATCGTATGTATGGCCTCAAAAGTCATATGGACTATATTTACAGTGTTTTCATCCTTTTTAGAGCTTGCTGATGGTCACCATCCACTACATTGTATCGTAAATTTAGTACTATTCTAGTAAATTTCTCTTTTTGTGTTCCACTATATAAAATCATGCTGGTTTGGAATGACATGAATGTGAGTGAATAATGATTGAATTTTAATTTTGGGTGACTGTAAGTAAAAATGAGGGCCTCTTTTTAGGAACAGGAAGCCGGCCCTTAACTTCCTTTTGTCACTAACTAGAAGCGATGAATCATGGTAAAGCGGGAAGGAAGTGAATACATGACACTGGAATGTTCCCAATGTGACTTTCGCTTGTCCGGATGGCCATCTGCAAACCAAATCTGAATCCCGATTGTTGAGGATGATGAAAACAGGAAGTGATGTCCTCTGACCATCTAAAGCTGCACTTTCATTCGCTTCAGTGCTCCGGTCTTGTAGCATGACAGGAAGCGGTCATTACTGTGGCATTTGGCTTCACTTAAGGCAGCTGACACAATGCTGCCCGTCATTTCACTCCACCAGATACCGCTTAGTGCCGTCGACTCGTTTCTGAGGACTTCTTAGCAATACTTAAAGCTTCATGAGAAACCTTACATGAACCGTCTCTTCTTAGTTAATCTGGGTTTACGTGATATTTGAAATAAGGTCACCTATAATCATAAGCCGCATCCGTATGTTTGTAAATGCAGATGAAACTCAAGCATTTTCCTCTGAAGAAACACAATCTTCTGCTGTTCAGTGAATGTTATAGTAAACAGCTTTCAAATGAAACATGGTTTGGAATCAGTTTACTTGCACGTCCTCCGAACACACACACACTACTGCGTTTAGACTTCTACACAGGGTTTCTATTGCTATAGAAATCCACACGGTAGCTATTGTTAATGATGACTGTAATTTTAGTGCGTTTTTGTTTTGTTTTTTCTATATGCTGTTTTCCAGCTTTTCATTTCTTTGGATTAAATTAGGAGTTGTTTTCTAAAAATGAAGTGTGTGTGTGTGTGTGTGTGTTGAATTGTCATCTGTACGGTTGGATCCTGACTGGATGTGACGTTACTGGGCTGAAGGGTGAACCGTGTCTCTCAGCAGAAGGCAGCCAAACGGTTCCTCCTCATAAAGCGTTCATGCAACACTGTAAAAAAAATAGGTCAGACCTCCTCCATGTGACCGAGTTTATACACACTGTTGTTGACTAATGCTTCTAGGTGTGTGTGTGTGTGTGTGTTACTGGGAATCAAGCTCCATACAGCTGATATATGCTGTCAAGACGATGCTCATCTGAAACGTCTCTCATATCACTGTCACAGATGAGAACAATCAGCTTGGTGACTTTTGTAAAGCGCCGTTCTCATAATGCTCTCGTTTTTTGTTTGTGCCTTTCTCTAAACCAACAATTACTGGTGTTTGCTTCAAAACACCAAGCCTAAGGTCAGAAACCTACTCTTATGTATGCAGATGTTTGACCAGGATCTTGAGAATCTGTTGTATATATTTGATGTGCTCTTGTCCTACTGTGGCTGTAATTAATCTCTCCCCCCCCCCCCTCTATACAGTGGTGTGAACTGTATATATATATATATATATATATACATACAAGTGCCAACATTGTCCTGAGTGAGTCACACTGTAAATAACCGACCGTCCTGCATCCTTGCATTGTGTTATTGTCGGTATGTTGGGCATGTGTTGATGCAATACTGTCTTAAGATTATGAATAAGTGTCAAGACGAAATGGACTGTTTATTGTTATAATATTATTACACTATACTTATTATAGTGTTTTCATTTGCATAGTTGTGACACGCTACTCTTATCTAAAAGGTTTTAAACATAATTTAGCAATTTTTAAAATGATTTTAATAATTATTAAACATTGTAAAAGACATGGTGACAGTCACATAACCAAATATTTAAACATTCATGTAATGCTCATCCTAAAATGTTGATGGGCGTTACACTTCAAATGCCCATTTATGCAGTGTTTTTGCATGCACATATGTGGAAGACAAATTTGGGGTTGAGACGGAGTTATTTTTTGTTTGCTTTGTGATTAATGTGTTTTTGGCTGTAATTGTTCATTTTGTGTGTGTGTGTGTGTGTGTGTGTGTCGGTGTACTGTTCGCTGAAGCAGGAGTGTCGGGTCAAAGAAAATTCCTGAACAACCACCAGGAAACCAATTCGGTCACCACGGCAACAGCTGATCCTGGACTCCAGCCTCCCTTTGGTCTGATCCAACAAGATCTTCACGTTTTGGAAAGCAGAGAAGGGCAAATGAAGGGTGTGGGCAAGTTAAACTTCCTGCAGAATTACTAACATATAAACACGGTAACATAAGTACTGTAGTAGTTTTTGCTGAAGGAATAGTTCACCCCAAAAAAGAAAATTTGCTGTAAATGTACTCGCACTCAGGCCATCCGAGTTTGATTCTTCATCGGAACAGATTTGGAGAAATTTAACATTACATTACATTACTTGTTCACCAATGGATCCTCTGTAGTGAATGGGTGCCGTCCGAATGAGAGTCCAAACAGCTGATAAAAACATCACAATAACCCACAAGTGATCCACACCACTCCAGTCCGTCAATCAATGTCTTGGATGGCCTGAGGTTGAGTCAATTTTCATTTTTGGGTGAGCTATTCCTCTAAGACAAACATCAGTATTAATTATTTTTGTTCAAAACCGATTAATTTCTGTTCTTACTGTTTTTTTTTTTTTACAGTCACACTCAAAAGTGAATCATGATGATAGTTTTGTACAGGTAACCATGTATATTTAATCATATTTCTGTATTTGAAATGATAAAGTCTACATTTTAAAGCTAAACTATGTAACTTTTTTGGTTCAAAATTAACAAAATTTAAACTGAGCGAGCAATACATCATAAAATCATCTTTCAGACCATATTTTTTGCTCTAAATCACTATGGGAAGCCTATAATAATTATTCATAATTTATCCATTGTTATGTAATTATTCATATTTTTGTCGAGACGGAATTCCCGGGAAGCTGCATCATTCATCCGTGTGTGTTTCTGTTAAATCAGGCTACTAATATATGCAGTGAAACTATCTTGAAGCGACAACAACTGAACCTCGAACCGAAAAAAAAAGGCAAAGCGACATCAGTAATAAAACATGAATCAACAGTTTGCAGAGCATCACATTTGCTGTGCATTGAGGATATTCACAAACAATGTTTTTGTTGTTAACAATGGCAGCCTCTAAACCAGTTACTTTGATGCATATAAATAGCCTTGCAAAGTTATAGTTTCCACCGTTATTTGATAAGAATAACAGTCGTTATGTCGAAAGACAGCATTGCGAAATATTAGTAACATTAAAACTACTGATTTCAACAGTCAAAGCAACGGCATATGAGCTGCTTACCTGCTCATAAGGCATATTTTTTGATGTCATTATTGACATTTGCACTAACGCAATCATCCGCCTCAAGCCATCAGAACCATCCCCGCAGAACAACTGACGTAACAGCCAAAACAGTGTTCCTCTGCAAGTAACGTGTTTTGTGCTTCATCCGCTAGAGGGACAAAAGCTACACATTGTAGTTTGAAACTATTAAATTCATTATTTGCCTGACCCAAAACTCTCAGAAGACATTACAATTGTCTGCAAACACAGGGTGGATCTAGATAAAGTGTAGCATTATTTTCTTAGAGCATCTGTGAAATTTATTGGGCGAGACCAATTCTGTGGTAACTTTTTAACTTGTGTCTACATGTATGATGATTTGTGCTCATCTAAGCATACTTCAGCATGTTCAAACACACTGATGTTCAGGGTTTTTCCCTGCAGTGACAGTGCAGTAATGTTCACCTCTATTCTTTAAAGATCTTCAAGCTTCAGCAGGGTTTATCTAGCTTAATGACTTATGTCTAACAAATTATGACTTTAAGACTGTCATAATTATATAATGACAGTATGATTCAGCAAAGAACCCTCTTTGTTTTAAGAACCATTTCTTGCTGTAGGATTCTTGAGTCCTTGCTTTTTCATCGTGTGAACTTGTTTATATGTTGGCTTATAGTTCTGCAGTAAATGATTACTGAGTGTGCGGAATTCATATTTGCATGAATCAACATTCACTCTTAGCCTATATTTTCTTTAATTACATGTTTATGCAGATACATTCAGAATGTTTTTATCTGTTGATACATGTTGAAGCACAAGCAATGATGAATAAACATGAAATACTGATAGGAGTTGAAATTATTTTATTATGCGTGAAGAACATTTGCTATGAGAGATTGGTCACCAGTTTTGAGGTCATTGTACAAACATTACACACTATGTTTGGCCAATCAGAAAAAGTGAGTATGATACATATTCAGTTCAGTGGGTAGGAGGTTATATACATTTAACAAACCCCCCCCTCCCCCCCAGAGATCATGTGATCTGACTGAAAGTGCAGCACACTGAAGCCCATGCCAGCAGCTGCTGATGGGGTTGTTCTCTGATGCATTTGTTTTTTCTAATCTCCAGCATTGTCCTCATGGTTAACTCTCTCTTGTGCTCAGTTTTCAGTCTAACAGTTGACTTTGGTGGTCATTATGCAAGCTTTGCTCCGGCTCCCATCTGCTGCCGGTCGGACCCTCAGGGGTCACATTATTTATCTGGTGATTTTTTTTCCCACCTGAGCAGAATTAGCTACACCTCAAAATGTTTATTTCATAAAATTAAGTTTATTTTTATTATTATATAATTTTAATATATTGTATATTAGGGATTGGAACTAGTTTTTGCATAGGCTGTATTTTGCAACCCTAAAGCATCAAAAAAAAAAATATTTATTTATTTATTTTACCATTGGAATGGTGGTTTCACATAAAAAAAACTTCAATTTTGTTCAAACTAAAACTACAGCGTCATCATATTTTGTTAAATCTGTTATGAAGTGAACACAATAAAACTACACTAGCATAAATTCTGACAAGATACATTATAATTAAGATATATTGTAATTAAACAGTTGAATTGTGTTTCCAGGACAAGGTTTATATTTATATTTTTTATTTTTGATCACTTTTAAATTTTATGTCTATGCATTATGCCATATGCTGCTTTTTTTAAACACGTTTATTCGACAATTAATGAAAATGACTTTAAACCTCTGCATTTGTAGCATGTTTACAAACTAGATTTTTTTACACAAGATTTATTAGAGCGCACTCACGTGACCTGTTGCTACGGTGACACGTAACGCGCCGCAGCGTACCTGACGCTTGGATCGGTGAGTGAGTTGTGGAAGCTTCTGTTTATCTAATAAAACGGTATAAAAGTGATTTAAATATGAAAACAACACCGTGTCTACACCGGACGCGACAGCTGTCGTGTCGCGCCGCAACAGCTAAAGTCTGTCTACACTGGACGCGACAAAGCGACCGTTGAAAATCATTTGAAAGTTGTGTCATAAATAGAACGCAGCAACCGTTTAAAGTCGGGAATTTGCCGCGCCGCTCGCGTCCGGTGTAGACACAGTGCAAGACTTGTTTTTTTTGTTGTTTGAACTTGTTTTATAACAAGTGTTTTATAATTCTGCATTACATGATTAATGAGTGCGTGGAATTCATTTGCAGCATTCACTCATATAACAGTTATAATGTCTCATTTAATTAATTGTTAATGCAGATACATTCAGAATGTTTTTATCGGTTTATACAATTTAAAGCACAAGTTTTTGTTCTAAACACACTAACTGGGCTCGTGGAAACTGTTGTGTTCAGTGAGCAGTGATGCCTACACGGATAGAGCAGCTCTCCAGGGCCAAACCAAACCTTCTCAAGTTCCCTGACAGGTGCGTCACTGCGGTACATTATCATAACATACGATTCCTAATATAGATGAACACAAAGGGGTATGCCTTATATATATATATATATGACCCTATTTTTAAATACAACATCTTACTGCCACCAGTTTCTTCAATGACATACGTATAGGTACTAAAGAAATCTATTTTTAGTTTTTTGTAAATTTATGCAAAAATGGGTGTTCCAAACAAAATGTAATGAAAATAGGCTACTGCAATAATGAGAGTAATAATCCAGAACATTTTCAGATAAATATCTCCATGTGATCCATGTAAAATATGAAAACGTATGTACAGCATCCTATACAGAGGACATGCATGAAATGAACGGCTTTCTTGTAAAAGGAAATCATACTGGGCTTTGAAAAGTCACTTTGAACATCGGTTAAGAAAAGATAAACTGTATACAAGGACGTAAATCTGTGGCAACATCTTCTACAGAGGACAAAACTGAACTGCTGCATCCCAGGAGAGTAAAGACTGTCATTCGCTTTCACATGGTCATAACCTCAGTTAATGTTTGACCTATGAATTGGCATATTTGCCCACAAGGGGGCTCCTTGACTCATTCAAACTGCAGAAAACTTGGGCATCCTTTTGTGAATCATCAATGCTTTAACTCATGTCGGCCACATCCCCGGGCAGTAACACTGACTCCAAAAATACTTTTGTATATTTATGATGAAATACAGCAGTTATATGTGTTCAAACCACCCATTTATCTTTGTGCATTGATGCAATAATATTTATAGGCGCTCAGTATACTGGCTTGATGAACTACCAACTAGGTCAAAGAGCACCACTACTGCCTTTGGTATGAGAATCACTTCATTTACTGCCTTTATGCAATGCGAAAATGTTAAATCATCATCTTTGTTTCCATTTGTCCAGAGTTTCAAGTCATGTATTGAAATTGTCTCCACAGAACTGACTCCTCGCTTGGAGCAGCTCGCCCAGAGCAAAGAATCAAGCCGTTTCATTGAGGAGAGCAGGTGACTAATGTGATTTCCATTAAAACTACTTGCTTATTAAAGCTACAATTCTTAAAGAAATAGTTCACTCAAAAATGAAAATTTGCTGAAAATGTACTCACCCTCAGGCTATCCAAGATGTCGAGGAGTTTGTTTTTTCATCAGAACAGATTTGGAGAAATGTAGCATTACATCACTTGCTCAGCAATGGATGCTCTGCAGTGAATGGGTGCCGTCAGAATGAGTCCAAACAGCTGATAAAAACATCACAATAATCCACAAGTAATCCCCGTGACTCCAGTCTATTAATAATGTCTTGCGAAGTGAAAAGCTTCATGTTTGTAAGAAACAAATCCATAATATTAATTTCTCCAGTGAAAACGTCATCTCGTCTGAATCAGGAGAAAAATATGCACATATCAAACACTGTTTACAACCGAAAACAGTCCAAATCAGTTTTAAAGAAATATGTTGGTGGATTTTGATGTGAGAGGACAACAGAAGATGGACTTTTTCACTGGAGGAAGCGTTATTATGCATTATTTTGTATTTTGATGGATTGAAGTTAACGCCTTAATGATGAATTAGTTTCTTACAAACACGTGGCTTTTCACTTCACAAGACGTTAACTGATGAACTGGAGTGGTGTGGATTATTGTGATGTTTTTATCAGCTGTTAAGACTCTCATTCTGACGGCACCCATTCACTGCAGAGCATCCATTGCTGAGCAAGTGATGTAATGCTACATTTCTCCAAATCTGTTCCCATGAAAAGTGAATATGCGCTCTACACTGGACTGTACATGTATATTAAGTATTTATAGCCAGTTTACACACCTCTTTAATGTGAATATGCAATAGGCGATGAGAGGTAAACTCTTATTCATTCCATTTTATCTTCGTTAAAAGATACAAACAGTGATTTCACTTCCACAGTGTCTCCTGATGCACATCTCATAAGTTCAGTATCCGTTTAGAGAATCACGCAGCAGCACAACAACTGACGTCTTCATGCAATAATGGCTGGCTCTCCCAGTCCGACTGTACTCACTGTCCTCATGGTTCCATTCAAACCCTAAACTCAGTCTCAAAGCTCATCACAGGGCTTTAATCGGCTGCATTCTTCACTGAGGATGGTGTCTGTAATTAGTTAAAATGAAAATATGAATCTGGCTCTCTCAGGTGTCATCTAGTTGATTTGAAGTAAAGAAAGAAGCTGAAAGCAAATAAATCAGTCCACAACAGAACTAGTTGCATACTGCTTTTTTTTTCAGCTTCTAGAAAACAATGCAAAACCCAAAATTTTTTCCACAGTTAAGTGCTTTGCCTTGCATTCTGAATAGTATGCTCTCTTCCTACATTTGGACATTTGGCAATTGCAGTAGGCCACAAGGGATTTTTTGCATACAGAGAATTTGCATCCTATGCACAGTGTGCTGCAGAAATAGCATTATGGCAGTGTACTATTCTGAACATAGCTCATATGGCTGTCCTTACAGAAGGTCACCGGAGTGGATGGTTAGTGCAGCAGCGCTAAAAGCATGTCCTTCTGAAAGAGTGTGTTCACTGGCACTGCCTCGTATGCCAGCTGATGGATGGCAGCCTGAACGCCCTCTGCTGGCCACTGTAAGTAAATGCATTACATCTTATGCCCTTTTGCACTGCCGAAATGAATTTCTGATCTTGCACTCTTAAAAAAAGTTCTTCACTGGTTCTATAACCCTGTAAAGCCTGACATAAACAATAGCAGAAAACTGATTGATTTATTGATTTAAATGGAACAGTAAATTGAACTTTCAGACAAAGTATATTTTAGAATGGCATATGTTTTTTGTAGAGTATCATCTTTGATACATCAGGCTTTTATGGCTCATACAGTATGATATAGTGAGAAAATTGAGCTCAAACTCAAGGAGGAATAAAACACCTCAATTTTATTCAGAGGCTCAAACTGAGCAAAAATATGCCACAATTTAGATGAAAATTCTGATAACTTGTAAATCAATGAGAACTGAATAACAGTATAACAGACTACTGACATAAAATGCATATAAATATCAGCTGTCACTCTATATCTCCAAATAATATGTCTTAGTTCGATCATATGTAATTGCTTAACTTTATGATCCAAGCTGTGGAGTTGCAAAATATATAATGCAAAGCAATGATGATTGAGAGATGAATGAATACACAAAAGCCTTAGTACTATATCTGAAGCTCACATTTTAACATGATAAAAAAAAAACAGATGTAAATGCAAGTTGCTTAAGTTCAGTTTCCTACGTTCATCTTGAAATATTGTTACTGATGTAAACTTTATTTTTAAGTCTATTTTATAAAAATCAGTAAAGATTTCACTGCAAAAAGACACATGAACCACGACCTGAATGCTTTTACAATTATAAAAGGCATTTTACTTGCTAAAAAATGATAAGCTCAATCAGATAACAGAAGGTTGTTTTGTAGACTGTGTAACAGGTTTTTTTTAGCAAAGATTTGATCATGTTGATCATTTAGAGGCCCTAGAAATGTGTGTATCAAATATGATATAGGGACCCAGAAATCAAAACAGCATTGTAAAGAAGTCTCATCCTAACTTCTGAGCTTGTGCACATGTTGTCAGATTAATCTTTGGTATGTGGTAGTATTTAAAGTCTGGTGAATGCAACACTTTTTTTAATCATGCAATCTTCAAGTGTTAAAAAGCCTACAAGTATCAAGAGTTGAGGCAGTTCTGCAAGGATTCAGAACATATATAATATGTTTCAGTTTGCATCATCATGTCTGTGATCTAAAGCATTAGCAAAAGTTCAGCGAAGGACCCTCTTCTTATCAAGAAGTGTGAAAAAGTGATTTCCCCCTCAGCATCAATAACTGCACCCAAACACTTCCTGTAGTTACGCATGAGTGTTTCTCACCTCTGTGGAGGAAGTTCCACTCCTCTTAGCAGAACTGCTTCAGGCTCCCACCAATACCTCTTACCACCAGAGCCTAAATACTACCACAACCCACAATCTGACAACATGCAAAGACTTTTTTACACCACTACATAAGTTTGAAGTAAGAAAAAAGGTTATCCCATGATATGAGGCATTAAAATCATTTTTGAATAATTTTGAGATCTATAGTAACTAGAAAATGTAATGAAATAAATGGAAGAAAATGTAATAAAGTATTATTTATTACAAATTATTAAAGATAAATATGAAATTATAAATAATGCAAAGTAGAAGCAATTTCACTAGTGGTCTCAGGCAAACAAGCACTATACTACACTTTTTCCAGTGCATTTTCAAAGTTTGCAGAGGTGTTATTTTTTGGGCTAATGTTCCCCTAAGTAGTAAATTAGGTGTGAATTAAACTAAAGGCTATTAGCTATTTTTAAATGGGGACAATCCCTTCAATGTGTCCCACCACACCTTCCTGTTTCAATATGAAATATGTTATAGACAGGGGGGAAAAAATTACATTCATCGAGCCATTTCCTGGATTCTTTTTTCACAGTTCATGTAGCAAGATACTAACACATGCCAGTGCAAATGGTAAATGATATGATATCTGTGCTATGAAAGTTATGATTTCGTATGTCTGGGTATTTGTATGCTGTCTTACCACATACTCAAAGTATGAAGATTCCCTTCACAAAGGAAGTACATACTTTTAGAGTGTGGTAGCCAGGGTTATTAGCTTTTGCATTGCTTGAAATAAAAGAAACATTACTTGATATAAAATAAATTTTTAAAAAGTTAACTTATTTTATTTCACCTTGTAGACAAGACAACTTTTAAAAATTTTGTTTAGTTTAAGTTGAAGTACTAAAATGACCATAACTAAATAAACGAAAACTATTAAATAAAATTAAAAAGTATATATATTTAAAAAATGAATAAAAATGACAAAAACACAGCAAAATAACTCATACTTTAATTAAAGTGAAAACAGAACATATACAAATTATATTTATTTCAAAATATTAGCATAAACTGTTATAGTATATATTATGCTACAAAATAACTCTGAAGCTAAACTCAAAATGTTAGATCTCCAAAAGCAGGCCTGGTCATTTCTTACTTCTAATGTTTATCATTGTTCACCTGGTTTCTTTTTATTACTGGGTTTGCCGCTTTGCATCACAGGTTTAAAGCGTTGCATCAGACTGTTATTTGGCCCTCGAGCACGTTCTGTAAAATCATGTGCTTTTCAATGTTAATTGTGTGACACGTGGCACATCTGGGTTCTTGTGATCTTACAGTTAAGTGTTGCAGTTAAAAATGCCAAGCCGAGTTCAAGAATATGTCAGCTGGCGCAACCAAAGCGGGCGAAGACGCTATTGACATACTGCAGCGTTGATTCAAGCGCCCACGCGATCAGCGTTCCCATCACACCCTCATCACGCATACGACAGCTGGCCTGTGAGTGCATATCACCGCCCTTTTTATACTGTAAATGATCAGCTGCTGTGTATACAGTCCACAGAAAGTAACCCTGAGAGTTACTGACACGGGTTCAGTTGGGTTCGAATGGTAATTTGTTTTCTCTTTTCCATCATTATTTATCACTCTCAGCTCCTAAGCAGGTCCATGCACAGCACTCTCTCGCGAGGCCTGTTTCTTGGCCGGTTCCAAATCATGTTCTGAAGGCTGTAGCCAGTGAGAGGCTGCAGAAAATGGCTCGACCCAAGACCCGTCAGGCCCTGTTTGAGGGGTACGACCCCTACCGGGTCACTCCTGCCGCTCGGGCCGCCACCGCGTCCCCCAGACTGCTGGAGCTGTCTTTACCCTTACCACGCAAATGTAAAGGCCAATAAACAATCATCCCGCCATCCTTAGTCAAGCTCTTTCAGTAAACGATTTTTTTAATGTTTTTGGAAAAAAGGCTTAAATGCTCTGCATTTAGTTGATTAAAATACAACCTTTTGACTGTAGTGTAGTTTTTTTCCCCCAAGAAGTACACTCATAATGTCAGTCTAAAATAAGCATGTTTTGAGTTCTGAAAGTCAAAGTTGAAGTTGAAGCTTTCACATTTACCAAAACATTTCAAGTCAGAAAACATTCTGAAATACAATGCTTTGAAGGCACTTCATGTCAACATGAAATGTATTCATGTGTGGTAAATGAGATATGCTCAATGCTCAACAGGTTACTGCAGATCTGAAAATTCCCCCTCCAGCCTTCAGGCTAACATAGTGCTGTAGGTTACATTGACTCTTACAAAAAAAAAAAAAGATCACAGAATGAATAATGCGCATCAGCATTGTTCATCTTTCAGCAATATTTAAAACCATAAATGATCTGTGTTTTGACTATAAGAAATTCAAAGCTCTGTAACGAGTTCAATATCTATTTTAATTGCTACTAAACTTCAAATAAACCTTATTTACAGACTGCATTGTTAACCTGAAAGTACCTAAGTAATTTACAGCATGCACGTGTTGCTTCTGTCTGCTGTGTGTGCAGTTTGACTAACAATTGATTTCACAAAGAGCCTGGTGTAATTCCAACAAAGATCAATGTGTGATCAGATGATATTGAAATGAATCCTAATTCTCAATGAGTGTTATTTTATTTTATTATCACAAATTGGAAAACAGTCTATGCAATATCAGTTTAACGAATGATTCATTTTGGTATTCAGCAAACAACAAATGTCTCGTTTGAATGTATTTACTTGAGGTTGATTGTATGTTGTCTTTGTCATCTTAAGTTCTTCCCCATTAATTCTTCATCACGACTGAACTCATGAGAGACTCATGAGATTAATGCTGATATGTTTGTTTTGAGCGACTGAGCGAGGGAGTAAATGGCCATTATGGAGACTGCATGAATCATGCGATATTATGTGCACAGGCACTGGGATATAGAAATAATAATTTCAACATAAAAATAAATGTTGCATCAAAGCAACATTTAAGAAATGTAAATTTATGGAACTTATTTAGCCGTTGTCTCCTTAATATGTGCTTTGTCGATGTCATTTAGCAAGAAGTGACTCATTTCAGGTCTTCTTCGCAACAAAAACACATGACGTGCATCTTTGCTTAAATTCAACATTTTTGGACCACAGCACCAACGTTGACCCCTCAGTGGACATTTGAGGTGTTCTTTGGCCAGTGTGATTACCTTTATCATAACAGTGTTAATGCTGAAATATACTATACTACCCGATTTCCTGTTTGGATCTGTCTCCACAAATACATGCAGTATACAGTGCACAGTTTGCAGCAAGTATACTGTGGATCGGCTTGCTTTACACAGTGTAATGTTACAAGTTAGTAAGTTGAAAGTACTGTTCTGTTTGATGAGCAATAATTGTGTTGTTTCTCCTGCCTGTTCCTCAAACCACATATTACAAATGTTAATGTTATATCTGTGCTACACCCCAAAGGGAGGTAAAACATTCATTTGCATGTTATTGAATGAGAATCCGCAGTATACTGTACGCATTCCAATAACCTGTTGTAATGGGACTTTAGGGATGTTGATATCTGAAATGTGTGCTTCCTCTGAGCCTTTGTGATTATTTAAACTCTGTTTATGACAGGCCAGGGGTTTCACCAAGTTGTTTTACTTCAGGTGCATAACTCATTTGATTCTATATTCTCCAAATGTTTTGTTTATTTCTCTGAGTCATTCTAGTTCAAGTACTTCCGCTGATTTTATCACTCCACGTGGCAAAAATGAATTGCGGAAACATTTATAACAGAAAATAAAATGCATTACTGTATGAATGACTGTATTGAACTTGAGTTGTTAAAGGAATAGTTCATCCAAAAATGCTATCCAAGATGTAGACGAGTTTGTTTCTTCATCAGAACAGATTTGGAGAAATGCAGCTTTCCATCACTTGCTCACCAATGGATCCTCTGCAGTGAATGGGTGCCGTCAAAATGAGAGTCCAAACAGCTGATAAAAACATCACAATAATAGAGCTGTTTTGAACTGTTTTCTTTGTGAATGGTGCTTGATCTGGGCATATTTTCTGGGCATATTTCTCTCCTGATTCAGAGAAGATCACTTTTTCACTGGAGAGAGCAATTTTATGGATAGAGGACTCCCGACCAGAAGTAACGGTTTAAAGTTAAAAACGTCTTAGAGCAATATTATGGATAGAGGACTCGCGCCAGAAGTAACGGTTTAAAGTTAAAAACGTCTTAATGATGGACTTGTTACTTAAACACGCAGCTTTTCACTTCACAAGATGTTACTTGATGGACTGGAGTGGTGTGGATTATTTGTGATGTTTTTATCAGCCGTTTAGACTCTCATTCTGATGGCAAATATTAAGCAAATATTTGGTTTTAGTTACACCGTATGGCATGATTTGAATCAGCTTTTTGTGACATATTGTTCATGTTTACATGCTTTGTAAGTCATTTTGCAACTCCTATGTTAATGAAAGGATGTGGCAGTGTCGTTTGTGTGTTCATGGATAACAGCATCACAGTATTGTGTGTTCTGTTTGAATCTCCACAAGGGTGCTATGAGGTTGTTTTGACTGAAGGGGATTTGCAATTACATGATGAATGTTTTCCATCTGATGCCGTTGAAAACAAACATGCCCTCCCTCTCTCTCTCTGAGCAATTTAAACAGCCCTAAACCACTTCTGATCTGTTACAAATATCCTGCAAAAAGCTTTTCACTTCTCAAGATGTTACTTGATGGACTGGAGTGGTGTGGATTATTTGTGATGTTTTTATCAGCCGTTTAGACTCATTCTGATGGCAAATATTAAGCAAATATTTGATTTTAGTTACACTGTAAGGCATGATTTGAATCAGCTTTTTGTGACATATTGTTCATGTTTACATGCTTTGTAAGTCGTTTTGCAACTCGTATGTTAATGAAAGGATGTGGCAGTGTCGTTTGTGTGTTCATGGATAACAGCAGTGTGAGAAATGTCCCCTCATCACAGTATTGTGTGTTCTGTTTGAATCTCCACAAGGGTGCTATGAGGTTGTTTTGACTGAAGGGGATTTGCAATTACATGATGAATGTTTTCCATCTGATGCCGTTGAAAACAAACATGCCCTCCCTCTCTCTCTCTGAGCAATTTAAACAGCCCTAAACCACTTCTGATCTGTTACAAATATCCTGCAAAACTCGTTATAATATTCTAAACATCACCTGCCCATACTGTTGGAGGATTAGGTTTCATTTGGTTTCAGTTTAGTCACCAGACTCCTTTGCCGTTTTTGTTTCTATTCAAAGCTCTAGTATGTAGTATTACTACGGTCAAATATCTTAAACCATTATGGCATTTTCAAACATAAAGACTTATTTCCTAATTTTTTTTAATAATCTCACAGTGTGTAATGATAATTATTGAGCATTTTACAAATGCATTTCAGGTTTGTTTTTGTTGTATGTTGTTTTATGAAACAAAAAATAGATGTGCACATATTTTGAAATACATCTTTTTATATAGGCTACAATTAGGATATATATATATGTATATATATACACACATTTATTATTATTAAAATATAATCATACTCACTGTAATTGCATTATTGTATTATTTGCTGCATGAGAAACATTAGAACAAATAATTTTGATCAGATACGATACAAAACGATGCTATTATAATATTCTAAACATCACCTGCCCATACTGTTGGAGGCTTAGGTTTCAGTTTAGTCACTAGACTCCTTTGCCGTTTTTGTTTCTATTCAAAGCTCTAGTATGTAGTATTACTACGGTCAAATATCTTAAACCATTATGGCATTTTCAAACATAAAGACTTATTTCCTAATTTTTTTTAATAATCTCACAGTGTGTAATGATAATTATTGAGCATTTTACAAATGCATTTCAGGTTTGTTTTTGTTGTATGTTGTTTTATGAAACAAAAAATAGATGTGCACATATTTTGAAATACATCTTTTTATATAGGCTACAATTAGGATATATATATATGTATATATATACACACATTTATTATTATTAAAATATAATCATACTCACTGTAATTGCATTATTGTATTATTTGCTGCATGAGAAACATTAGAACAAATAATTTTGATCAGATACGATACAAAACGATGCTATTACAGCTATAGGCTAATACTCCATCAGTTCTAATGATGATATATATACACTTCAAACAGAGTGCACCACGCGCTTTTACGCATCACTGCGCATGTGTGTTGTTGGAAGAGCGCGTAATGTCAAAACAGATCAGATCATCACATCAGTTCCCTTGCCATCATTATGTCATCAGCATTTCCGGACACTTAAAGGCTGTAAATGTTGGACAGATTTCAGCTCTCGGCAACTTTATCCAGCACAGGTACAGCACGAGTTCATGTTGACTTTACGCGGTTGTTCTTTCGCTTTGGGTAATCCACCGTAATAGCCATTTAGTTTGCTTTGTTTGCGTTTTCATGTGTATTTAGAATGTGTTTTGACGTAGTGAATAGAAAAGGTAGAAACGAACTTATGTTTATGACTTAACTGTCCAAAAAGTGTTTTGTAAAAAGTAGTGTTTTTGCGCTTTATTGCGCCACTGGTGTCTTAGTTTAAATATTAGCCTATTATTTATTAGCCTATTTTAAATTATTTATTAATGTGTGTTTATTTATTAATAAATAATGTTTTATTTATTTTAATTCTGATTTTTTTATATACTCCGAAAATACACTTTTCGTCCGGTAAGGTTTGGATACAATTTGCTTGCGTGGGAAGCCCTGTAATGTGGAACATTGCGCAAGCGTTTGGCTGTGATCCTGTGGTGACTTGATTTGTGATTATTTCAGCTAAAACATCCTGATTTTACGTTCTCACAAGCCAGAGATGAGCCAAATGAAGCTGCCTCGAGCTGGACTTCTCCTCTGGATGTGTGTAATGAACAGGGTCCTGGACACGGGTAAGCGTTTATGATGAATGTAAACGTACTTTTTTCATTTAAAATGACAGTCTTGGTTGTGTCAAAGCTGTAATGTAGTCGGGGGCGGATTGGCCATCTGGCAATTCTGGCAAATGCCAGAGGGGCTAGACCATTTTGTTTAATGTGGGCTGGTCAGATTTTTTCTAAATATATATAAATAAATTGGTTAACTTAAGTGTTAACGAGCCTGTTACTGAATTGCAGCAGCAGATAAAGTGGGATTTAGGGTAAAAACTGATGTGGGCTACTTGCAATATAGTCTAACACATCAAAAACCTATAGCAATAGCCATAGTACTGTAGACATTTGTAGTGAACTTTACTTTGAATATGTAGATAGTCATATATTAAAATAAAACATTGAGCACGCATACAGTACATAAGTCCACAGTATGCAATTAATCCTTAGGTAGGGTGGACTGCAGAGTCAAGTGTCATGGAGGTAGGAAGACACAATGAGAGAGACACACCCTGATACAGATGCTGCCAGTTTCTTAATAATGTGGCTCTAATTAACTATTAATTAACTCTTAGGATAGGAGGAACCTGTGCCTGTGTCACACACACACACACACA